CCTGCGATGCAGGAGGAGCCACCCAGAGCTGGGGCAGCTCCGTGTGGGATGGAGGGCGCAGCCATCCTTGGGTGCACTGGGTCTGGACGTTTGCACACCAGCCCTCGGTGGAGCCTGAGCCTGCGAGGGGATGAGCTCAGTGGCTGCCCTGACATTGTCTTGAGGTGGGAGCCTGGGGAGGACAGAGGTGGCAGGTGGCAGCCCCCCCAGGAGCCGGCTGTCCCCCTAAGTCAGGGAGATTCTTGGTCTGGGCATGGAGAGCCCACGTCATCCCTCCTGGAGGGTCTCAGTGACACTTTGACATGATTTCGACTCACTGCTTGAAAAACAACTCTGAACTCTTGTCCAGTGTTTACTTTAAAAATATTATCTCACCACAGAGAGCTCAGCTGAGTGTGTTTCAGCACTGTCAGTTCCTGAGAGAGGCTTCAGGATCTTTAGTAGCTTGGTGGCTACGGCTGAGAGCCCCTGCCCACCGTCCCCATGCCGTCCTCGCACTGGCCCTGCATGGCCCACATCCTGGTGTGGGTGGGTGATGGTCGGGGAGGCCGATGGCATGGGATGCTGCTGCCCTTCCTGCTGCCTGCCTCGGGTCCTGTGTTTGGGATCTCCAGGTCCTAAGTCCAGAGATGCTTGGTGTCACTGAGACCACCCTCATCTACCCAGAGTTCCCGTTAAATGAACCTCAGTGCTGGGAACTCTGGGAAGTTTAAAGACAGTGGGTCTCATTGTGAGCCCTGCTGACCCCAGGTCCTCGGCCGTTCTTGGATTACTGAGCAGCCCTGTAATCAGCTGCCTGTCCCCTCTGCCCGTGCCCCCTCAGCTCGTGCCCTCTGCCTGTCCCCTCTGCCCATGCTCCCTCTGCCCATCCCCTCTGTCTGTGCTCCCTCTGCCCGTGCCCTCTGCCCGTGCCTCCTCAGCTTGTGCCCTCTGCCTGTGCCCCCTCAGCTCATGCCCTCTGCCCATCCCCTCTGCCCATCCCCTCTGCCAGTCCCCTCTGCCCGTGCCAGTTCAGCTTGGACCACGCTGCTCGCTGCCTGGGTGACTGGGCCTTGCTTGGTTCTCCACCCTTCCCTGTCCCTCTGCTGCCCTACGTTCCCTGCTCTGGCCACACTGGTTGTCTTACCTTCCTGGAGCACGTGGCCTCTCCTGGCCCAGGCCGGTGCTGCTCCCCACTCTGGAATGTTCTCTGGAGTTCTTACCCTGGGTGGCTCCTTCCCTCTTGCCTGCTTGGGGTCACCCGTTCTCGTCTGAGGTCAGCTGTACCCCTGCCTGTCTCCCTGTTCGCTTGCAGGCCACTGTCCTTGGCACTTGGGAGTCAGGAGGAGCAGGGCCGAGGTCTTGCGCTCCAGGAGCTACCAGGAGGCTGCTGTGCAGGGACTCAGGTACTCAGGTGCTCCTCCGGTGCCTCAACGGCTTTCACTCTTTTCGTGCTCCTTTACCTGGGGCTCTGTACTGGCGCTGCCAGGAGGCCTGGCTGGCCTGGGCTGGGAGCCCATGTTGAACAGCATCTATGTGGGATCGAGGCTGATTCCCGCGGCCCCAGTTCACGCTGGATGGCATCTGAGGGTGTCGCCCTGGCTTGAGCCCAGCCCGGGTGCAGGAGTCAGGGAGACCGTGCAGTGGGACAGTTCCCGTTCGCCAGCTGGGCCTGCGCGGCCTCTGCTTCCCAGCCACCAGGGGCCACAAGCAAATCTCTGCCTCTTGCCCAGGCCCCAAGGCAGAACATTTAAGAAAATCCTCCCTTCACAAGGACAGACACAGGGAAGGATTCAGCCCCTTAGGTTAGATCTGACCAGGAAATCTGTGGCATGGTCTAAGGTCAGCACAAGCGGGGAGCTGTGTCTGGGGCCTCCCGTCCGTGTGGGAGAAGCACGTGGCGCTGGGAAATGCGTGGTGCAGGCGCCAGTGCTCCAGAGCTGCCTTGGCTGCCGTCCTCCCACATCTTGGGTTTCTCCTGCAGATTCCCATTTAAATCGTCAGTCCCATGGAGTCCATGACCATCTCTAGCCCTGGTGTGGGCAGCATGTGGCTTTGGATCTCAGAGGCTGGGCCACTGCTGCCTTGGCTCCCAGGCCCCCTCTGTGCCGCCCTTCCCCTCCCCGTGGCTTCCTGACTGGACTGCTGCTGGCCAGGACTGCACTGCTGTGTTCAGTGGCATTGGCCTGTGACCCTGAGCACGGGCTTAGATGCCGAACTTTAGACCCAGTGCCAGGCACTTGGGTGTCCCATAGGATTTGTAGATAAACTCATAAAATACCCGGAGGTTGGATTCTCTTAGCTTTCTAACTGTGGCCTCTAGACAGCCCCTGCCATGAGACTCCATCCATTGGTCTTGAGGTCACATGTTTCCATTTCGCTCCTCATATAGAGGTGAAAAGTAATAGTGGCTGACTGATGGATGTTCTGAAAAAATGCACGTCTGAGCATGTGTTCCTAGCAGCATCCCTGTACTTCCGAACCACCTCTGAGCATCGATGCTTCTTCCTCATCTCTGTCCTGAATTCCAAACATTAGAGCGGTTTTCTATCCTTAGCTACAGCCAGGAGCCCAGCCACACTGCCCTGCCCGTGACAGTGTGTGTTTGTGAGGACAGGGTGACCAGCCCTGCTCTGGTATTTCATGGAAATCTTATGTTTCAGGGAATGGGAAAGGCTCCCTGTGGAGGGAACTGTGCACACTAGGAGCACCCGGCAGCCACCAGCTTCTTGGCTGTGCTCCAGGCTTCCTGGCCCAGTAGGCAGGGCTGGCTGCCCTTGTAGGAGCCGGAAAGTCAATATTGGAACATTTCAGAATAAACCTCCCAGATGTTCTGAGGCAGTGATGCCCAGGGTGGCATGACTGTAGCCGGCCCTGGGCCTCGGAGACTCCGGCATAGCGTGGGGTTCCTCCTAGGTCCCGGCCCCTCGTGGGAGGTATTCAGGTTTCCACCCTTCCACAGGGGAGGACATGCCGGGGGTGGGGAGACTCTTGCAGCCTCACTTTGGTTCAACTTCAGGGTCAGAAGAGATTGTTTGGGAAGCTGCTGAGCTTCCAAGCAGGAGGGCGAGTTTTCCCATTTATGATCCTGTGTGGAGCTTTCTTCTGTCACACGGGGAGGCTTTGAACAGGGAGTTTGACAAGCCACCAAGCCTTTCACATACTGTACTTGGTCAACCTGAGGACAACCCGGAGACGCCGTTACACAGAGAAGGAGTCTGTGGTTCAGAGAAGACCAGTGACTTGTGAAGGGTCAGCTAGGAAGCTGAGAGCCCATGCTTGGGAGGGAGGGAGGCAGAGAGGTATAGAGGGGCTGGTGGGCGTCACTGCCTGGGCAGCCAGGTGGGAAGTCCCACTCCATCTTCACAGGAGTGTGCTTTGCAGGCAAGCTCAGGCCACTCCAGGTGCCTGGCCACCCTGTCTCCTCCGTGCAGAACATGGGCCTGTCCATGGGTCCTTGCTGTGGCCTCACTGACAGTGGAGAACATGGCGCGTTCCCACACCTGAATGCGCTGGTCTGGGCGACCGCACTTTAACTGCCCTGAGAATGCTGGCTTCCGGGGCATGCTGTGACTTACACTCTGTGCAGAGGCAAGGACTGGCATCGTGTGCACGGGGGCGAGGCAAGCCGGCTGCTGACACTGGAGTCCCTTACCTCTGCGTCTTTCTTGGTGTGAGTGGCTGGCCAGTGGGAGAGCATGGCTGGCAGTGAGGCGTGAGGGGCCCCAGGGAAGGTTCCAGATGCTCTGCAGGTGGCTGGGGCAGGGACCACCTGTGTGCGAGGATATCGGTATTGCTGGGGTCCCAGGTCCAGGATGAGCAGAGTGTGTGACTGTTGGCGCTCAGGTTCCAAGGCCCCGCAGCCCCACAGGCACCTGGCCCTGCTGCTCTGGTGTCCCCCGCCCCTGCCTCCAGACGCAGCCTTGGCTTTCTCCTTCTGTTTTTAGTAACCTTTGGGGTCACAAGATCACAAGGGGTGTGTTCCACGTGGTTAAGGGACGTCTGTGGCAGGGAAGGAAATTTGGCTACAAGAAGGGGAAGGAATTCCAGTGCTCTGGGCAGGAGGTCAGAGCAGGTGTGGTGCACAGACCCCAGGCTCACTGCGGAGCTGCCCAGCGGGGAGGCGTGAGGCTCACAGAGCATGAAAGGGCAGTGGCCCAGAACACTGTGGTGGCCGGGACTCTATGGGGAGGAGCGCAGAGCCCCTTGGAGCTCCACATGTCCCACACAGAGCCATTTTCTCATACCGGGCCGGGCCGACCCTCAACAGTGTGGAGGGAGCGGTAGAGCGTGCTCTTTGGACCATGGTGAGGGCCCAACAGCCTCTTCTCAGTGCAGAGTCCTCTAAACCCAGGAAGGAGCAGTGGCTCTCCGTTGTCCCAGAGACAGATGTGCCAAGTGGTCTCCTTCCAGATGTGGGCAAACATTGACATTTTAATTTTTTTAAAGCTTTTTACCCTGCTGGGGCTGTGAAGAGAACCTGGTGTTTGAGACCAGAGTTTGTTTGATGTCAGCTCTTCCAGACCTGAGGACGAACTTGGGCCTTGTGCTCCCCCTGGGCGCTGCAGAGGCTCCTGCTACTGGACACACACCCACCAGCCTGCGAGCAGCAGGCAGGGCCGTCCCGGGAGGTTCAGATGCGGGGGCGCTAGGTGCACTGCGATCTGCTTTCTTCACTGAGTTAGCAGGGAGGGCTCAGCTCTGAGGGGCCAGCCTTCAGTGCAGAGCAAGGAGGATTGCCAGGACACGGCCTGCCTGCCACCTTCATCCATGTGAAATGGATGGAAGGACACCTCGGCCGCTTCTGGGGGTGGTGGGATCATTCCTGTTCCTCGTCAGTTCTTCTCGGCAGCAGTCGGAGGCTCCAGCGCTCTTGGTGACTGCAGCACAAGTCAGGAGGGATCTGCCCAGCCCTGCGCGGAGCACCTTTCCTGGGTGTGTCTGAGCAGAACACTCTGCTGTCCTGAGTGTGAGCTTATTTGAGCCTTGGCCATCTGAGGACCCTGTCTTCTCTTTTTCAGAGGATTACCCCAATGGCACCTGGCTGGGCGACGAGAACAACCCTGAGATGCGGGTGCGCTGCGCCATCATCCCCTCCGACATGCTGCACATCAGCACCAACTGCCGCACAGCTGAGAAGATGGCGCTCACGCTGCTGGACTACCTCTTTCACCGCGAGGTGCAGGCCGTGTCCAACCTCTCGGGGCAGGGCAAGCACGGGAAGAAGCAGCTGGACCCGCTCACCATCTATGGCATCCGGTGTAAGTCGGGCCCCGCCTTGGGGGACTGGGGTGTGCAGGGAGCTGAGTCAGGACCCACATGTCATCGCTGAGGACGCTGGCATCAGGAGTACTGGCCCAGGGCTGCGTTTCTCCAAGCAGTTTGAAATCCCAGCCCGAGGATCAGTGCTCGAGGGGATGGACGCCTGGTTGACCCTGATGGGCTCACTGCGCCTGGCATGCCTATACCAAAATAGCTCATACACCCCATAATATAGATACCTACTATGTACCCTTAAAGGGTAAAAAACTCCTCGCCTCCTGCCTGTAGGCCACTCTTGAGGAAGGGAGAGGAGGAGGAGAGCCAGGGCCTTCCCTGCCATCCTGGTCGTGCTGACCCAGGCCCTCCTGAACCTCTCCGCAGCGGGTGGAGTGCTGCCTGCCTCGAGGGCTGGGTCTCAGCAGCCGTGCCAGGGCCTCTGTGCTGACCTGGCTGTGACGGGAGCCAGGAGAGCTCCAAAGCCTGATTTTCGTGCCCAGCCAGCCTGTGACGTTCCCTCCCTTCTGAAGAGCAGGGCTTGCTCCAGGTGGCGATGGTGGTGCTGCCCTTCAGTGGTGTTTGGTGGGCGCTCAGGTCCTCCTTGCCAGCATACATGGTCCATTTGCTCCACAGAGCCCGTCTGCTTCAGAAGCTGTCCTGCTGGCTTCTGACGAAGAAGTAAAGTGAAGCAGCAGCAAACACGAGAGACACGAGGCCCCTGGCGGGAAGGTGTGGGAGGGTGCAGCGGCGCTGCCTCCGGCCATCCGGGCTCTAGAGAGTTGCCACAGGGGAGCGTGAAATGTAAATCTGATCTCGCAACAAGGCAAGCGAGGCAGAGCACTCGGTGTCCAGGATCTCACTGTGCAGGGGGTGTCCGGGATCTCACCGTGCAGGGGGTGTCCAGGGTCTCACTGTGCAGGGGCCACTGTTCAGCAGGAAAGAGCCTTGCTCCTCTGGGAAGCGTGGTGTGGCCCATGAGCCTCTGTCAGGAGCAGTGAGGAGGGGAAGGGCTCGGCTGTTCAGTAGCTGCTGTGAAAATGGGGTCTAAGTAAGACTGAGGGGGTCGTGCTGACTGCAGGTTTTCCTGGAAGCTGCTGAGAGGTGGAGCCAGGTCCCACACACACACGTGTGAGCAGGTCATGGCATCTTCCCATGTGCCACGTCTTGGTCCAGGCGTGTGCCCCAGCTGTCAGACACTGGCGGACGCCCGTCCTGGACCCTGAGGGTTGTCTCAGATAACTGCCTGGGAGACCACATGTGGGGCCTCCTCACAGCTTCTCAGCGGTGGAGTAAAGCAGGTCACAAGGATCAGAGGGTCATGGGACAGGGTCACTCGCAGCCTTGTTCTGAAGGGCCACGTGGCAGATGTTTCAGGCTTTGCAGGTCCTGGGGTCTCTCTTCAACTGCTCAGCTCTGAAAGCAGCCACAAACGAGGTGTCAGTGCATGGCCGTGGCTGTGCTCCAGCAGGACACTGCCTTCAGAGGCGGGCAACAGGCCCACCGCCCTCTCTACCCTCTGCTTTAGGGCATGGCGTGGCCAAGAGCACACATCTGCGCCCTGACCACGTGATGTGCTTCCAGCTTGAAAGCCGGAGGTTGCTTTGTGCGGTGCTTGGTGTGTGGATCACAGTGTAGAGTGTGCTGAGATGTATAGATGAGTGAGAAATGGCCCTGACAGCAGAGTGTGCAGTCAGGTAGATAGAAGAGTCTGTAACCTGAGAGGTGGCATTGTGGGGTGTCGCTGCAGTGTCAGTCTGGGCTATGAGTTGGAGGCGCAGCCTGGACAGAGGAGCGGGTACTCTTCAGAGAGGATGGTGGCATGTGGGATGAGCGTGCTGTGCTGTGTGGGGCAGTGGCTTTCTGGGCTGGGCCCTCTTCCCAGGTGAGGAGTCCCTGCTCCTCCAGGAAGATGACAGGGGCCTCAGATGTGAGGCTAGAGGCCGGCTGCTCTGCCTTGGAGACGGTGCCTTGGATTGTCAGGCTAAGGATTCTGGGCTTTCAGGGCATTGGCTGCGATTGGTCTTTTTTTAGTCGGGCACAGGGAATGTTCCAGCGAGGTGACAGGGACGTGGCAGGGCAATACTCAGAGCAGAGCCCATGGCGGTGGGGTGGCTGTGTGTGTACTCAGGAAGCCCATGTGGGGCGGTGGAAGGCCCTGTGTGGGGCAGAATGGGGCAGGCCCCGGCTCCTGTGTGTGATGGCTGTGAGCTGACCTTCCCTGCCGAGCTTCTCCTGGCTTGGGAAGTGCTGCCAACCTCGATGGGGGTTCAGAAGCCGGAGAGGGGAGTGGGAACCTGGCATGGGCCACCACCCTCCCCTGGGCCCGCTGGCTTCGGGGTTGTCCCCCAGACAGCTGAGGTCACTGGCTGTGTTCACCAGGTTGCTATGGCTTGGGGCCCATGCCCTGCCTCCCCAGGCTCTGAGCTGGGCTCTGGAGCATGGTCCCCTGGCAGGGGCGTCCGCTAGCACTGTCATTCTGCTGGAAGTCCCTCCGGGGCGTGGCTCCTGGGCTCGCTTACAGCGCCCGGCCCCTTGGAGATGCCCGGTGAATTCTGGTCTCTTGAGCAGAGCTCTGGGAGGGTCATGGTGGGGCTGACCTTGGGGTGACTTCGCGTGAGGAAGGCTGGCCTGTCCTCAGGGCCATGTGGAGGGGCCTGGAGCAACTGCTGGGTGTGGACTGGGCTGTGCTGTGGAACAGGAGTGCCCGGGGTGCGGGGATTCTGGAGACGTGGGCAAGGCTTGGCTTCACAGGAACTCGAGAGTTCAGTCATCGCTGTGGGTCGTGGGAGATGGCCCATTCTGTGTAGTGGGTACCACCTCCCGTCATACACTTCTGATTTCCACAGACAGTTGTGTTTATGTGAAGCCCACGTGGTGGGCTTGTGTGTGTTTTTGGCGTCTATAATTGTGGCCTGTGTGACCATAGGCCCTTGCTGTGCCTCCCTGTGTCCAGCTCCTCTGGCGTCCAAATGGAGAGGAACCTTGCTGTGTGGGCTGAGAGAGCACGACCCTCCCTCACACCAGCCCTTGAGGGCGGCGGGTGACACTTGCCGGGCTTCCTTCCTCTGGGGTGAAATCCGGAGGGAGATTGGAACAGGAGCCCTTCCTTCTCCCTCCACCTCTGGCCAGGCGTACCTGTGTTGTTCATGCTTAGATGGAATTGTTGAAATGTTAAAAGCATTGCTTTACCTTTTCTCTCTGTGGCCCAGTTTCATTCTTATTGCTGATTGTTGCTCAGAAAACCAAAACAAATCAAATAAGTGTGTGGACCAAACCTCCCAGGCCCCAGCTTGGACAGCGGCAGGAGCGGAATCGGCCGCATCGCCCACCTCACTCTCTGCGTTGCTTCAGAGCCCACGGTGACACCTGTAGCCTCAGCAGTCAGGCCTGCGGCTGTCCTCACTCAACCCAGGCAGCTCACGAGGGAGAAGATTTTGATTTAAGTTTCTCCTTATTTGTCAGCAGAAAGATTTTCTTTCTTTTCCTGGAGAAAAAAGTCTATATTTTGAAACACACAGTAGGTAATGTCTCTACCACCTTTTCGAAATGAAGTTATTGAAAGAGGGAGGTTATTGCTTTTTGGGGTATTGCCTTTCTTAGGGTTCCCAAGGTTTGGTGAACCCCCCAAATTTGGGCAGCTAACCAAATTTGTGTTTTATGCAAAAGTTGCATGTTATTGCAACTTGGAAAACCTTGGGGCATTTTCCTAAGGAATGTGCTCTTAGGACAGCAGCATTCGCCTCTTTTCTCTGTGAAGAGAAATTGGGTTAGTTCTGAGGATTTCTATCCACGGCTCACGTACGCCTCTGCTTGGACTGCGCATCCAAGCCGGTGACCCCGGATCTGAAGGCTTTTCTAAAAGATGCTGTCTACGGCCGTGCCACCCTGAAGACACCCGATCTCGTGTGATCTAAAGAATGCTACTGTGGATGGCGCATCTCCACGAGACCTCCTAGCAGTTACGGAGAGACCAGATTCACTTGCACAGGGTAAAAAGTTGTACATTCAAGGTTGACCTGTCAGATGATTGTAGTTCTTTTCAGATCATTCACTCCAAGAGCAGGTGGTCCTGGCCCCGTTTTGTCTTGCAGGGTACCTCAGGTTCCTGTGGCCGCTGGAACAAAGCTCACAGTCTGGCTGGCATGGAACACTGCGCAGGTCTGGAGGCCAGATGCCTGGGATGAAGGTGTGGGCAGGGCCACGCTGCCTCTGAAGGCCCTTTCCCTCTCCCAGTTTCTGGTGGTGGCCACATCCCTCCGATCTCGGCCTGCGTCCCCCATGACTATCTTCCCCGTGTCTCCCTCTGTGTCCCTCTCCTTACGAGGACAGTCACTGTATTTGGAGCCCCCTCTCCTGTAGGATGACCTCCTTGCAACCTAAGGAATCACATCTGCAGAGACCCTAGTTCCCCTTCAGGTCACATTCCAGGGTCCTGGACCAGGACATGAGTTTTGTGGGGACACGGGTGGTCAAGTGCTGTCTCTTCTCCAGGTTCTCTGTGAGGTGAAATGGTGAGGCTGCCCTGTATGTGTCCTTAAGGGCAGAATGTGGACTCCACGCAGGGGTGGGTGTTTGTCGTGGGACATTGAGCGCCTCACGGTGACTGAGAGCTGGGAGGAAGGTGTGGTCAGTGTGGGCTGCAGGCAGAAAAGTGAGCGGAGCCGCCTCCTCAGCAGCAGCTGACCCACATGCTGTGACCTGGAGGTGGTCCTGCAGGTGGCTGTGAGGGGTTCTGTTGCTAACAGACTGAGGACAGGTGTCACTGTATCGTTTTTTCTCATAAAGGAGTGAGTCAGCAGGCTTGGAGAAGGCGGTCAGCTTGGCCTGGAGGCTGGACATGTGAGGTGCGCGGGGTGTGGGCTGCGTGTGCTTCCCCCGGGAGGGAGCGTGTCAGCTGGCTTCCATCGGGCAGAGGCTTCGAGACGCCCTTTGTTTTTCTAGGCAGCGCTATCACGTCGAGTCTGTAATTTCAAGAAATCAATTGTTGGCACTCAGTTTTGTGCTGCCTTCCCTTGCACTTGAGATTGCACTAGCGGGGTGGTGCTCTTCATTCCTTTGTGATTGATAAAGCCCCATGCCACCCACCGAGGCGCAAGATTACTAGCCCTCCTGGCTCTCTCATCTCGCTTCCCACAGTGCCGCTCATGGCCCCACAGATGGAAAGCTGGGAATCGGTTTATGATTTGAACCACCAGAGTCAGTAACAGGGGTTCTGGAAAGTGGGAAGGCAGCTAATGGTGTAATGGGGACTCTTCAGCTCTTTGGGAACTGCAGGACAGCTCATCAGGAATATAGAGGTGTGGGTAGTGGCAGGGATGCTGCCTGGCTGAGCCTGGAAGGCAAGCCTGTCTCGGCCTCGAGGGGCCTCGATGGGCGTGGTGTGGGGATATGCTGGGGAAAGCAGGGACTGAGGCGAGACAGGGTGTTCTGCTCCCGGGTAATGCCGCGCTGTGGGGATCCCATGAGCCTCAGCAGCTGGATGCCAAGCACTTCTGTTGTTGTGTCTTGGTCACTGCTGCGGGGGAGACTTCTGCCTCGATCGAAGTCCGACTAGGCCTCCTGGCAGCAGGGGCTGCGGGTGCCTTGGGCCGAGGGAGCTCAGGATAGCAGAGGCACGTGTGCGGGGCTGTGCGTGTTCTTCCCACCTCCCCGAGTGCCTCTCATGGGTTCTCAGGATCCAGTGAGAGCCGCTGCCTCTCCACCTGGGTGGGCCCAGAAAGCTTGCATTTTAAGGCCAGTGCTTAGTACTAACTAGTAATTGGACTTGGACACATCACTTCTCCTTTTTCTGGCTTTTGCCTTAAAACCAAAGTGAAAGTAGTGACATTCCTAGGAACTTAATGAGGCTTTTAAAAAAAAAGTCCATCAAATAACATGAGATCAAATGCTTTAAGTGGAAAATGACAGTTAAATTCAAGGTGATCTTTTGATCCCATCATGATAGGATTTTTCCTGCTCCCTCTGTTAAGTGCAGCTGTTCAGTGCTGTCACAAAAGGTAAAGGAATCTGAGCCCCTCACAGACCCTCAGAGCCCCAAGGGCTGCCCAGAAGCAGGCGCTTGCCCCAGCTGCTGTCCAGTGGCGTCTTCAGGTGACGCCTGCACCCATCTATGCATGTTCAGATCCTCCCCCTCCTCACCTACCGTGCTCTGCAAGCAGTGCCTGGGCGGCTGGTCTGTTCTCTGGATCTCCTTGGTGGCCAGCAGGGGGCATTTGCCCCGGCTGAAGCCTGGAGCACGGATCAGAAGGAATTAGGTAATTTGATGTCTGAGGACGATGGAAACTCGGTGGCGGGTAACTAGATGAATATGTATTTTTTTATTTAAAAGGTATGAGTAAGGGTTTGAACTGGCAACTTGATTTTTACAAAGTTGAATTTAAATGTTAATGTTTTTACTCATTTCTCTTACATGTACACCTGGGTGTTTTAGGTATATTTTCTTTCCTGTTACTAACCTGTTTTTAAATTTCATATGGACTCATTAATCCTTTGAGGTATATGGAAGTTTTCTCCTGGAGTGTGAAGGTGGGAGGGTAACAGGAGGGCGGTTCTGGGGACGTTTCTTTTTATCGACTCGTGCTCCAAAGACATTGTCCTGCTGGTGGGATGGCTGTTTCTTTTCTTGTCTCCTGGTGGCAGCAGCTGGGCTGCTTTGTATCTGAAGTCTGTAGTTGGGCTCTCCTGAAACTGTTGAAGTGGAGTTTGAAAGCTGGGTTTTACGGTAACTATGGTGCAACCTCTGGCAGTAGCTGGGCTCTCCTGTAAGGATTTCATTGTGATTTTAATGGTTGGGTTCTCCCATGACCACAGCCAGTGGCTGGCTTCCTCTGTGAGTCACTAAAGCTGCTCAGCCTGGGGCTTCCTGAGGCGTCTCTGTCACCCAGCCAAGATTTGAGGGTGACTCTGATTATTTTAGAGATGACCCGAAAATTGGAAGCCAAAGAGCTGCTGCTTCACGTATGATTTCTTTTATGCATGAGGATAGAAACGTGCTGCCAAAACGACTTTAGGTTATTCTTCCCTCTGATCCTACAAATCCCACCCTCCTAGCTGGTTTCTTTTTGTCTATAGCACAGACAGGTTGGTTGTTATTATACAAAGAGTCAAACGTGTCTCAAGTATCCACTGATAAAAAAGTCAAGAGGCATATTTCCAAAACCCGAGGGACTTTTGATACCTAGTAGAGTACTTAAAAAAAACCCAAACGCTTCTTCCTCTTTTTCGATTGTTTCTACCATTTTAGTCTCAGTGGGAACAGATTTTTAGGGTTCGGGCAGTAGAGTCTCAGTGGGAACAGATTTTTAGGGTTTGGGCAGTATAGTCTCAGTGTGAAACAGATTTTTAGGGTTCGGGCAGTAGAGTCTCAGTGGGAACAGATTTTTAGGGTTTGGGCAGTAGAGTCTCAGTGGGAACAGATTTTTAGGGTTTGGGCAGTAGAGTCTCAGTGGGAACAGATTTTTAGGGTTTGGGCAGTAGAGTCTCAGTGGGAACAGATTTTTAGGGTTTGGGCAGTAGCGTCTCAGTGGGAACAGATTTTTAGGGTTCGGGCAGTAGAGTCTCAGTGGGAACAGATTTTTAGGGTTCGGGCAGTAGAGTCTCAGTGGGAACAGATTTTTAGGGTTTGGGCAGTAGAGTCCAGACTTGAGGCTCTTGGTAGTTGAAACAGGACACTTTTCAGCTTCATCTTATTACTACAATTTTGGATTCCATCCGTGTATTTTCCTGTAAATTAGTGAAGTTGCATGAGCCAGCTAGAGAGGCCAGTGTGTTGAAGAGCCCTTCCCATGATTCCCACATTCGTCATCACTACAGGGAAGGGGTCCTGTGGCCTAGTGGGAAGTGACTGGGCATGCAGCGGGGTGCTGGCTCCATCCTGTCACCTGCTCCGCTGTGGCCTTTGGATCCTCAGTTTTCTCCTTGTTGAATACAGGGCACCTCTGAATGCTACTCAGGGCATGCTGAGAGCTCTCTGTAGTGCGGGTTGTAGAGAACTGGGGGTCCCAGGACTGTTCTCTGCTGTGTGCACGGTGAGCCCCGGGAAGACGTTGCACTTGGCTTTGGCCCCACAGTGAGAGTAGGTTGTGCCCACTCGGCTTGTGGTGTAGGGACTCCAGGGGTGAGGACACAGGCCCTGCCAGTGAGGAGGTTGTGCTCTGGTTGAGAAGGCATAAGAGAGAGGTGTCGGGAATGACGTAAGCAAGCCCCAGTCTTGAGCAGCCATGGGAGGGTGTCTTACAGTCTGTCGTAATCACTGTTTACATGGGAGCAGCCACTGCGCGCGAGAACGTTCTGGGTGCCTGACCCTCATGGGTGGACACAACAAAGGCCCCTGTGTTTATGAGGGGGACAGAGTAACAATACACACGTGAATTCTCCAAACTGTGTTTGTGAGGGGAACAGTGCAAACTACATACATGAATTCTCCAAACACTGGAAGGTGGTCAGTGCTCTGACAAAACAAGTGGGAGGAGGGTGGGAGCCCAGGAGGGCGGGAGGGCGGGAGGGCTGGGTGGTTATCCAGAGGGATGGTGGAGCCAAGACATGAAGGAAGGGAGGGCAGTGGCCGAGCAGGCGTGAGTAAGCAGAGGACTGACAAGTTCTGGTTCAATTGTTGAGGTCCCTGATCTCATCCTCTGCGCATGCAGGACCTTAGGTTCTGCTGTGAGTTCAGGGCAGAGGGAAGTTGGAGCGTGTACGGTCTGGGAATCTTGTGAGAGCCCCAAGTGTGCAGCTGGTGTGGGCAGACTAAGTCAGAGGGATCGAGAAGTTAAACAAGTGGAAAGAGCATGTCATGACCCCTTAGGGGTCATTTGTATCTTATGGGGAGCCCCGCCTGTGGGCCAGCTGAGTGCCTTCTGTGCAGTGGGCCTTTCCGGACCCTTGCAGGAAGATGGGGCCAGCCTGGCTGGCTGGGGTGCCTGGGTGAGGCCTCTTCAGCGGGCCCCGGCTCTGCAGCCAGGCAGCTCCTGATGGCCATCCTGAGCAGGCCTCACCGCTTTTCCTTGGATGTGTCCTTCCAGGTCACCTTTTCTATAAATTTGGCATCACGGAATCCGACTGGTACCGAATCAAGCAGAGCATTGACTCCAAGTGTCGCACGGCGTGGCGGCGCAAACAGCGGGGCCAGAGCCTGGCAGTCAAGAGCTTCTCGCGGAGAACGCCGAACTCATCTTCCTACTGCCCCTCAGGTAGGCCTCGTGCCACAGGAGAGGCCGCCCTCGCCTGCTTAGGGCAGCTGGCCTGGTGGCATTTTTAGGGGCAGCCGGAGTGCGGCCAGAGGCTCTAGCAGTTGCCAGGAGCTGAGGCCAGAGGCTTGTGTGGTGCACAAGGAGCAGTGGAGCCGCAGGACCTGTGCCTGGCCCTGTGCGCACTTCACACAGACAGCCTCAGGCCTGCTCCAGGCTCCTCACACAGGGCCTGTTGCACCTCCTGGATGTCTTGTGGATGGGGGCAAGGAGGCCGAGGCCTTTGCGTGTGGCTGCCGGACATTGTATTCTCACAATTTGCCTGGGGACTCCGGGTAAGGGGTGGGGTGGATTCTGAATTGTGCTTTATTTTTACTTTGAGTTCATGGCCTTAGTTGGATTTATCCACAAGATAATGGAAGCATTTCTCTTGCAGTTGCCTCTCAAGCATCGCTGGGGGGATTGTTTCTCCTTGGGAGAATTTTCACTAGGAATGACAATGTGACTTGATATTGCCTTTCACCCAAGACATCTCAAAATATTTTAATAAGTATTTGAATGAAAACTATTCTTTTAAAGCTCCCCACGGTAGCTGCATTGGCAGCGGCTCTTGGAACTTGAGCTCTGATTGGGGTTGGGGTCAGGATGCGAGGGCAGCCGTGGGCAGGGCCAGCTCTCCTGTTCAGTGGAGTCTTTGTGGGCCAGAACCCTTTGTTCTGGAGGGTCCTGCAAGTTACAGACCAGATCACCTGGAGTTCTCCCGGGGTCTCTTTCTGAACCGGACTTAAGGAAGTGGTTTTCCCGGGCTGTTTTGGTAGTTATCAGATACTCAGCCTCAGCTGCTGCCCAGGGGCTCCAGGATGGGAGGTGGCTGGCTGCAGTGGGCCACACAAGTTGTGTCCCTAAAGCAGCGCTTTCTTGAGTGACCTGTGTTGAAGAAGCTCTTCTATTCTAGGCCTTTCTACTACAATGAGGAATTCTGCCTTGGGACTTTAGAGAGGTAGCAGTCCTGGGGGATGGGTTCACGGCATTCACTGAAATACCATGTAGCAGCGTGACCTGTGGCTGTTGAAATGGGGCTGGAGGAATATTGCTCACGACTTGAATTCTGCTCTTGAATATTCATAGCTAGGCAGAGAGTGAGTGTGAGAACTAGACTTATGGTATGAGACCATTTTTTCTTGCAGATACATAGGTGTATGTGGAAGGTGAGTAAACATTTGTGTGTGATCATTTGTATAGTGCCTGTCTCTAGGTAGTAGGATAATTTTTATTTGTCTCTTTGTCTTTCGTTGTAGTTTCTCAGTTAATTCCAACAAGCACTGCATTTGTTTTATAGTTTTAACAAATGTTGTTTAAAAGTCAGAGGGGCCGGGTGTGGTGGCTTATGCCTGTAGTCCCAGCACTTTGGGAGGCTGAGGTGAACTGATCACCTGAGGTTAGCAGTTCGAGACCACCCTGGACAACATTGTGAAACCCCGTCTCTACTAAAAATACAAAAATTAGCCGGGTGTGGTGGTGCATGCCTGTAATCCCAGCTACTTGGGAGGCTGAGGCAGGAGAATCACTTGAACTCAGGAGGCGAAGGTTGCAGTGAGCTGAGATTGTACCACTGCACTCCAGCCTGGGTGACAGAGCAAGACTCCATCTCAAAAAAAAAAAACAAAAACAAAAAAGAGCCAGGCGCAGTGGCTCACGCCTGTAATCCCAACACTTTGAGAGGCTGAGGCGGGCAGATCACCAGGAGATCAAGACCATCCTGGCTAACATGGTGAAACCCTGTGTCTACTGAAAATGCCAAAATAATTAGCCAGGCTTGGTGGCAGGTGCCTGTAGTCCCGGCGACCCAGGAGGCTGAGGCAGGAGAATGGCGTGAACCCGGGAGGCGGAGCTTGCAGTGAGCTGAGATCACACCACTGCACTCTAGCCTGGGCTACAGAGCAAGACTCCGTCTCAAAAAAAAAAAAAAAAAAAAAAAAAAATTGTCAAGGAGAGGAGATTTCTGACTTTAGTCAGACATAGTAGCAGGAACCAGATTGAAATCTCTTGCCATCGAAATCTGGAGAAAAATCTGTGAATCGGCTGTCCTAAGACGTTAGACAAGCAGCAGCACAGGACCGTGATCCTGAGAGAGGGAACACGAGAGGAGGGATGGGGGATGCCAGGCAGAGCACAGCTGCATCACCACGTGGAGGAGGTGGGTTGGAGTTGAGAGAGACTGAGGCAGCTAAAATTGCAGTCAAGTTCTTAAGAGCAGAGGGTTACACTGGGGCCTCCTTGGTTGTTTGGGGGATTCCAAGGCAGGCATGAGCTGAATGGTTCCTAAGCTCACACCAGGCTGGGTGGCGATTGGATTTGCAGCAGCCGGAGCGGAGAATGCTCAGTGATCAGTCACTGCACTAGCAGGTCACGCCCACCGGCGGCTAACCTATCCCAGAGTAAAGGCGGAGCTTAAAACAGCCTGAGAAAGATCACACTGAACCACAAGTAACAACACTTTTAAAAGAAAGACAACAAAACCTAGACACCCAACAAAGTAAAATTCACCATCTCCAATATCCTGTCAAAAGTACCAGGAAGCAGGAAATTGTGACCTGTGATCAGAAAATCAGAAGATAGGAAGGGACCCTGTCTGGAATTAACTGACCAGGACATTGAAATTTATTAAATATAGGAAGGGACCCTGGCTGTTATTAACTGACCGGGACATTGAAATTTATTAAAATTACATTCAAGAATTTAAAGGAAAAAGGGAACATAGCAAGGAGAGAAATAGAAGACATCAGAAAGAACCGTAGGGAACTCCTACACTTGAAAAGCGAGGAGAGTGGTTTCCAGGCTTGCCTGCCATGTGTTTCGGGTACGTGCACTTGGTAAGGTTAGCAGTCTGTTTCATCCAATGGGGAATCAAAACCCAAGTTAAATTACTTGCCAGGACCTTAGTGAGCAAGAAGTGGTTGTTATATAACCTGACGACTGCCAGATATGTTGGCCTGCGTCATTAGGATACTAAAATCTTGAAAGGGTAAATTTAATGAGCTGAAATTTCATAGCTGGAAATGTAGACTGAAAGCATTTGCACAGGAGTAGACGGTGGTGGAGCAGCGTGGAAGCAGAGTGTTTTCCTGGCTGCGCCGGTGTGCAGGACCTTCCTCGGAGCCTGTGCGGTTGGAAGGTGCACTCTAGAGCACACCCATTCTTAGCTTGTCTGCCCTGTGGCCCTAGTGGGGCATTTTGGAGCCGCTGGGAGGAGCTCTCCAGGGACTGTCAAGGTGGCAGTGGGCTGGAAACCGTTGTCTTTGGGGAAACAGTTAGAAATTGAGATTTCACAAGGTTTCATAATGGTTAGATGCCTGGAGAAGCAGCGCATCAGTGAAGAATTAGGCTGGTTTTGTAGGTGCTGAGAGGGTCAGTGGAGGAACAGCAGGTCCGCGGAGGTGGGCTTCAGCCCAACTGGGATTTCGTCATTTTCTTCCTGGGGTCCACAAGGCTTGCTGGAGGACCTATGGTGCTGAGTGCTCTGTAACTGCTCAGGCAGACAGGAACGCACTGTGGATCGTGCAGCACTGCCTGGGGGTGGTTGCTTTGGGACATGACCCACATCTGGAGGTGCTCAGGTGGAGTCAGGGTCTTTGGCTGGAGCCAAGCTCTCCACGTTCAACATGCAGGAGGACCACCTTCGAATCTCATGAAATTCAGATTCTGATTTAGTGTAGCCGGGCAATTTCTAGCATATTGCAAGTATCAATATTTTATTATGTGACTCGGCACAGTGGCTCATATCTGTCATCCCAACACTTTGGGAGGCTGAGGCAGGTGGATCATTTGAGGTCAGGAGTTTTAAACCAGCCTGGCCAACCTGGTGAAATCCCTTCTCTACAAAAAATACAAAAAACTTAGCTGGGCCTGGTAGTGGGTGGCTGTAATCCCAACTACTTGGAAGGCTGAGGCAAGAGAATCGCTTGAACCCAGGAGGCAGAGGTTGCAGTGAGCCAAGATCACGCCACTGCACTCCAGCCTGGGTGACAGAGCGAGACTGTCTCAAAAAAAAAACAAAAAACAAAAAACAAAAAAACAACATTTTATTGTTACTTTAAAAAATGCTTTCAGTGGAATCTATGTACTATGGCAATTTAATACCTACCATTAGCTATTGGTAAAAAATACATGGAAAGTTTTTCTTTTCTCCCCTCCCCCTCCCCCTCGCTCTGTTGCCTGGAGCTAAGTGTAATGGTGTGATCTTGCCTCACTGAAACCTCCGACTCCCAGGTTCAAGTGATTCTTCTACCTCAGCTTCCCAAGTAGCTGGGACTACAGGTGCATGCCACCGCACTTGGCTAATTTTTGTATTTTTAGTGGAGATGGGGTTTTACCATGTTGGGTAGGCTGGTCTTGAACTCCTGACCTCAGGTGATCTGCCTGCCTTGGCCTCACAAAGTGCTGGGATTACAGGTGTGAGCCACTGTGCCCGACCCTTCTTACTACATTTTTATGCTTAAAAGTTTTTTTAAATTAGTTATTATAATTCTCTGCAACAAAGCTACATGTATACATTGAAAATTAAAAAGTTTTTCTGCGCTCTTAATATTCTAAGTGTTTAAGAAAATTAAGATTGAGACATCATTACAGTGAAAATTAATACACAGTACCTCAAAGCAAATGTATCTCATTTTGACTAAACACAGCAAGTAAAATTTGTCGGAAATGTACCTTTAAGTGTATGGATGAGGCTTTTGTCCTATTAGTTTAATTACCCATGGACAAATATTGCCAGCCTGAAACAGCTTTTAATGTCCACTTGAAGAACTTTATTCATTTAAAGAAGTTGGGACTGGAAGGGGTTTTGTCACAGCAACATCACTCCACTCTCAGGCCCTTCTGCATTCCATGTTGGAAGCCTCAGTTCCTAAGACTCACTCGTAGCGATCTCTGCAGAAGAGTGGAGACGCAGCGAGTCGAGGAAAAATGAAGCATTTCCTCTTCTCTGCTGTGGGAGTCAAGAGGGAGGGACAGGGGTGCACACATGCCGCAAGAGGCAATGCCTAAGAAACTTCTCGTTCACCCTGTTCACACCTGTCGCCCCCACAGAGCCGATGATGAGCACCCCACCTCCCGCCAGCGAGCTCCCGCAGCCACAGCCGCAGCCGCAGGCCCTGCACTACGCGCTGGCCAACGCTCAGCAGGTGCAGATCCACCAGATCGGAGAAGACGGACAGGTGCAAGTAGTACGTACCCTCTCCACCTCGCACCTTGGGAAAGGGGGCTGCAGGGCAGGCCACGGCAGGGCCATGGCGGCTTCCACCGGTTCCGCTGTTTCGGAAGCACAGTGATAGCTTGGGAGGAGACACAAGGTCCCCATTTAAAGTAGAGGTCATCATAGCCAGGCACTCTTAACATTTCACAGGTGGGGGCGGCTGCTGCAGAGCCTAGGGGTTGAAGCACATGGTGGGGCGGGCGCCCAGCTCACCTCAGTCCTGCCAGCAGGCAGGCGGGCAGTCAACTCCGAGGGTCAGGCCGTGCAGTGGTGCCTGTCCCAGCTCGTGCTCCTGGGAAGCATCAGAAATATTTCTCAGTTCAGAAGTGCAGGCACCCTCTCACTGAGGGAAAGAGTCATTTCCTTCTAGGATCAGTGGCAAAAGCTTGAGGTCATTGTTCCCATCAGCATTTGCCTTGGAGTTACTCAGCACACCTAGGTTGGGCGGGCACTGCCCCAGCAGTGAGTCAATGTCCTGCCTTGCCCGTGCAGAGTTCTCTGTTGGGGTTTTGTGGCCCAAACTGTGGTCAGCCTGATGAGCTTGGGGCTGACTCCCGGGTGAAGTCCCTCTACAGACACCTCCTGGATTATGTGGCGTAAGAGTAGGGGGTGGCTGAGAAGGAAGGAAGACTTTTCTGGAAGCTTTGCTGGGTGACTAGAAATTTTACGTGTACCAGTAGACATCGCTGATGTCTTTAGTGGCACCAGCACTCTTGGGACCTCTGAAGACAGAGGTCATTGTGTGCCTCCGTGTCGCCCGGACTTTCTCCTGGAAACAAAGTCCTTCGCTATTGAGAGTGGAGCATGGCTGTCATCTCAGTGTGGCTTCAGCACGCTGTCTGGAAGAGGGAAGGCTTCCAGAAAATTCTGGGGCTTTTAGAGGGGGCATGACCCTTCCTCTTCCAAAGGAGATGAGACAGTTATGAATAGTGAATCTTATTTAATAAGCTTATTAATTTGTTTGACATTGACAGCGACAGTTCCTCTCATCTTGTTAGTAAGAAGTTCTGCGGAAGAGTTCCAGAGTAGATAACTTTGCCGTAAGGCTTACATAGAACATTCTACAGGAGTTTAAGATCCATTTTGACTAAGAGATAATTTCAAATAAGATAAGGAGTATTCATTTCATTTATAGGTTTATAGGAATTATTTGTCTGCCTGTATGTATAAACATTGGATTCTTTGACTTTTTTTTTGAATCACATTTATTAGTGTTTACTTAAACTGTTTAAATAGTCATATGAGTGTTTCTTTGATTTGAAAAACGTTGCCTGCCCTGTTGTGAGTGTAGGCACGTGAATAGCTCCCCTGCTCCAGCCACAAGCTCCATGCGTAGCCTCCCAGCATTCCCAGAGAGCTGAATGGATCATTTGGAAAGAGGTGTCATTCTGATTTTCTGTTTCCCCTCTTTTCTATGTGTCAGGCAGATTTTAAAATTTACTTGTTAGTAACATTTAAAGATGTAAATATCTTTCCTGGGACCTATTGCTCCTTTGTGAAGTACTGGAAGATGTTGTGTGTATATTACACAGTAGCCCCGCCTTACCCATGCCTCCACTTTCCCAGGTTTTAATTACCCATGGTCAACTGTGATCTGAAAATATTAGATGAGAAATTCCAGAAATAAACAATTTGTAAGTTTCAGATTGCATATTCTTCTGGGTAGTAGTATGATGAAATCTGGTCGTCCTGCTCTGTCCCATCCGGGACGTGAGTCCTTCCTTTGTCCAGCATGTCCAAGCTGTGTGGCACGTATGGGCAGGAGAAAGCATAGCATATACGGGGTTCAGCACCATCCACGGTTTCTGGTGTCCACATAGTGGGGGGAGGGGCGCTTCTTGAAACAAAACCCTCATGGATGAGGGGGACTGCTGTGAACCAAAAGCTTAATTTAAAGAGGTGACCACAGACCATATTGCACTATTCAGGATTCAGTTATCTTTTTGAATTATAAACAGATAAGAACAAACATTCCGGAAGATGTTTTTTGTTTCCTTTGCTTTTGATTTTCTTCTGATGCTTCTTGGTGTCTTCTCTTGCTGCGGATCCCACAGGGACACCTCCACATCGCCCAGGTGCCGCAGGGGGAGCAAGTCCAGATCACGCAGGACAGCGAGGTGAGTCACCTCTTGCTGCAGCACTGTCCCTGCAGGCACGGTGCCCCCATGCTCTTGACCTTCATCGGTGTCACAGTGCGAGGGCAGCTGGGAGCCCCAGAGGACGGGAAACGTGGGCAAGGGCTTCAGGACTCTGCTTCCAGGATGCACGTGGCGGGCCTGCAGTCTCTGTGGCCTCACTGCCTCCCCTCCCGTCTATTGGTCTCCACAGCTTCTGGTCTGTCTTGGTAAAGATCTCCTGGGTTGATGTTTCTGCTCCTGGCTGGAAGTGCCCTCGGAGTACCCTTCTCTCCCTGTCTGGCCCTGTCCTTCTTGCCAGGGGAGGCCCCCAGTGTGGCTGAGGTGTGGTCTACCCCTGCACAGGTGACCTGACATACCCCCTCACCTGCCATGTGGCCCCAGCTTCCTCGTGGCCTCTGTGGGATTAGTGCTGATTTCATGGGACGGTGGGAAATCCCATGAGGTAATGCTGCCGGTCCTGAGAGCTGGGAATAGCCCTTGACGCACCTGCCGGGTCTGTGGTTATCTCAGCTGTCTCAGTTTCTGGAGCTCTGCCTGGCCGTGCACTCAGAAGTGTGGGCTCAGCTGCTGTTGGGGTCTGGAATGTGAAGGCAGGAGTGGCAGTCTGAGTTCTTGGAAAGCCGAGGCTGGCCGGTTGTGGTGCTCCGTGTTTGCATGCCACAGCAGGACTGTCTCCTGGGTGGCTGGTGACTGTCCTTTGACTCTGGGCTGTTTCCTACAGCACGGGCAGCAGCAGGCGCAGGGCACTAAGCAGCACACACGTGTTGTACTGAGTGACTGTAGTGCGCTCTGGGGGATGAGGAACATGGCTGTTTCTAGATCGTGACAATAGCACCAGCGTTGTGTTCGGTGCACGATAGTGTGTCGTTACAAAGATCTCAGATTTCCCCGCACACACCAGCAGCAGAGTCTAGGAAGCTCGGATGCTGAGGTCGAGGGGACTCATGGAGATGTTAGCATGCGAGGCCTCCCGGGAGCTCGTGCTGTGTGCAGGTGCTGTCAGGAAGCGGAGGGGAGAGAAGCCCTGCCTTCGGAGATTCACGGTGGGCGCAGAGGCTCCTGCCCAAGTGCCCATGAGCAAGACTGTGGACACATGCATGCCGTGGCATGAGGAGCACCAGGGACTCAGACGTGTCTGCTGGCGGTGGCTTTAATTTGGACACCAGCAGTTCCCAGTGGGTTATCCTGAGAGAGGAGCACATGCATAAGCATTCCGAGGGTGGAATCAGGATGAGGTGAAAGGGGAGGAACGAATTCTTGTGGGGGCCGTGAGCGACTGGGAATGAGTGGGCTCATCCACACAGCAAGATGACCAGGTCACTAAGAAACATGTGGTCAGATGGATGGATGGAAGGAAGCACCGGGGTGGGGGGCAGGTGGGGGACGGTCCCAGGAGGCCAGAGTGTCCAGGAAGGAGCAGGGCCTGGTTCTGTGTCTGTGGGTGGGTCAGGGACCGTCTCTGTGGAGATGCCGGGAGATAGCACCAGTCAGCTCAGTGAGGTCAGGTGCAGGAGTCGGGGGCCTGAGCGGCTGCGAGGTGCAGGATCCCAGCAGCACCTACCAGTGCAGGAGCTGCCTTTGAGGGGCAGGGGAAGGTTTGCTTCTCAAGGCACAGACAAGTGGGGGCTGGAGGCTAAGCTCACTGTCAGAGAGCTCAGCCAGAGTTCTTGAATACCTGGAAGTCCATGCAGTCCGTCGGAATGCTTAATTTCCTTAGAGTCATTGGAAATGAAGGAAAATTGAAACAGCAGCAAAAGAAAAAACACACATTTACTTTTTATAGTTTATGCTAAAAAATCTTGACTACTAGAATTGCAATTTTTTATTATTAGTTTTTCCTCTTTTCAGTTTTCAAAACTGAATCCATCTTGTATAGGTGATTGTCTTTTGTTTTCATTAGGAATTGAATGCAGTAAGTTAGAAATTGCTGATAATGCTAACGATGGCTTTGTGATAAGTGACAGTATGCAGTCTCCTTACCGTGAATTCATACCGTGAATTCATTCATTCATTTAAATGAATTAAAATGAATAATTTTAATTCATTTAAAATTATTTTGTTAAAACAGGATATCTGCAAGTAAACATTTAGCAGGGTCTGACAGACTTAAAACAGTTCCTTTTCACAACAAATGAAAGCAAGTTTCTAGCTGGAGAGCTCTTGGTAGCTCTGTGGTTGAGTGAGCTGGTTCCTCGTGTGCGGCCCATGTCGTGGCATGGTGATGCCACACAGCTCAGCAAAGCGTCCTCACTGGGGGAAGCTGGGTGGCACACACATAGGACCTCTCTCTGCTACTTTCTGTACTTTTTGTGAGTCAAATTCTTTCAAAATAAAAAATGAAGCCAAAATGACATTTTCATTTGGGGTCAGGGTAGGGGAATGGGTACGGTGCTTTTTGAGTTGTTTGTTCATCTTTAAGATAATAAATAGTACCTAAAAATCTAAATATTTTATTTTGGAGCTTTTGTTGCTACTAGAGTTTGAATTTTTAGAACCAGTGTTTTTCTTGTTATTCTCAAATGGCCTGTGATGTGTCTTGGCGTGTTTGCCGAGTCTACGGGTGTCTTGGCGTGTTTCTGCTCATGACCGTCTCCTCCTCTCATTCTTTGCAGGGCAACCTCCAGATCCATCACGTGGGGCAGGATGGTCAGGTGAGTGTCCCAGTGCTGGAGTTGCGCTGCTGAGGGGTGGGGCTCTCACAGGACGGGGTGGGGCGGTCAGGTGAGCGACCCCAGTCCTTACACATATACACAGGCATTGCGCTGCTGAGGGGTGGGGCTCTCACGGGACAGGGTGGGATGGTCAGGTGTGTGCCCTGGTCTCCACACACGTGGGCATTGCGCTGCTGAGGGGTGGGGCTCTCACGGGACAGGGTGGGACGGTCAGGTGAGTGCCCTGGTCTCCACACACGTGGACATTGCGCTGCTGAGGGGTGGGGCTCTCATGGGAGGGGGCGGATGGTCAGGTGAGTGCCACAGCCCCCCGTCACATACAGGCCATTGTGCTGCCAAGGAATGGGGGCTGCCACAGGAGGAAGCGAGGGTGCAAAGGCCTCTCAGTGTGAGCCCCAGAGCAGGACTGGCTTTCCTCACCATGGCAATGCACAGGCCTGGAAGGGGGAGGGTGGGGCTTGGGGGTCACATCTGGTGCTCCGTAGGATTTTGGTAGCTTTTGCATTCTGGCGGAAATGTGCCCTCCCCTCTGACCCCAAACCCTACCCCGTGCAGATGGTTATTTTCTGCACACGCGTGTGGATGTTGGTGGTGGTCGTGTTTGAGTAGGTAGCTTTGGTAGGAAAAGGTAGTTTCACTCCTGTGTATTGCCGTCAAACTCACAAACTTGCTTGCTTTCTAATCCTTGACAAAAAGAGTGACCATTCGTTGACCAACTCGTTGGTACGAGTTGTCTTTACAAAATGATGTGCCCTGACCGTGCGGGTCCTGGGGAGGGCATTGCTGTGCAGGACACAGTAAACTCGCTGGAGGTTTTGAGGCTGTGTGTTCCCAGGTCCTGGTGAAGACCTTTTCTATTCAGGAGACGGCTGTCACCTCTGGATCATTATTGAAGAGTCTGGGTGATCTTCCCATTTCGTAAAACAGAACCTGGGAGGTTGGCGGTGAGAACCATAAACACAGAGCTCACTGTGTCGAAAGATTGTACTCATTTTTCAAAACCACAGCGCACTGTCCTTTGAGGAACCTGCGTGCGTTCCCTTTGCCAAGGCCAGGCCCTGCGGATCTCTGACCCGACTGAGCCCAGGGCACCCCTGGAGCGAGGCGCCTCGCAGATGACAGGGACAGAAGGGCACGTGCGTCCCGTGGGCTTTCCCTTGACCCCTCAGAGGCCCCTTGGGAGAAGGGCTGCAGACCCTCCAGAACTGGTTTATGTCAGTGTTTCTTAGTTGGAAAGTTTCTTCTTAAAGATCAGCATGAGGTTTTCTCAGGCAGTCCTGCAGCGTCGCTCGTCTGTAAGTATGCAATTGCCGCTTTGGAGAAGAGCCAAAGGAATGCGCAGTTTTTAAATCCACACTTGTGGCTTTGCGCTCATTCCGCTGGGGTAGTGAGGCTGTGGTCAGTGCAGTGCAGGTTGGTTCTCCGTGCCTTTCTCCCCCGTGGTTCTCACAGTCACTGGGGCAGCAGAGGACAGGACTCCCAGCCGGTGGTCCGTCTTAGTTTTGTGCAACATAGTGGTTTATGGTTATGCTGGTAGTGGAACTGTATCATAGTTAAAACGCTGCTGGACTTTAACTCCTAGGAAAATTTTTGTAAGGCATGTCACCTTCGATATTCCCTTGTTCCTTTCTCTGCCTCTGAACAAAATCCACTTGGAATTTTAAAGATAGGACCAGGCTTTTTACACTGTATTACTGCAGTGCTTCTGTTTATGATTGTAGACAGAATCCTCCCAACTCTGTTGTGAGGACAGAGATTCTAGCTTTTCTCAGCAGGCGTGGAGGCCCATTGACTCCAGCACAGATCTGAGTTCAGGAAGGACTCAGGGCTGGTGTTGGAGGAGTTGCTGTCTGGAATCCTCTGAACAAGGCTCTGTTCTGGTGTCTCTTGTTCCTCCGTCACTGCTGCTGCCCCACATGCCTTTGCACTGCGAGCAGGGTCTCAACTGCTGCTCATTCCCGTATCTGCCGTGGCCCCTCCAAGTCCCCACTCTAAGAGGCCTCACTGCAGAATGTGTAAAGCTGCCGTACTACCACTTTTTATGTGAAACGAATAATAATTTATAAATCACCTGGTTTTTTTTCCCCTTATGAACTCTCCTATGTTCTTCCCACCTCCTGATTCCTATTATCAGTTGCATTTGTGGGACCTCAAATCAAAGACAGCTTCAGGAGAGGCCAGTGCTACCACTCAGGGTAGCAGGCAGAATCTCAGTACATGGCCCCTGCTTCTCTTTGGAAGGAAACTGGTGTATGATTTAAGGAAACCGTTGTGTTATCTGAAGCTGCCTTTTCTGGTAAATCTGTGTAGCAAACCCCTCATCTTCCATTTGTGGAATTTCTTTCTTTTTCCATCATTTGGCGAGTTCTCATTCCTGCAGAGCTTCACCCTGCTCATGCAGGCTTCGTCCTCCGTACTGGCCACACATTTGGGAGACAGAAGGATGTTTCAAAAAGCACAGAGAAGCCCACTCACCTCCATGTTGTCTACTGGGCTAAGAAGCCCCGAGCCGTGTGGGGGGTCACACAGCCCGTTCGCTCTCCTCCCCGCCCCTGTGCCCACAGGAGGATAGTGCACGTGGGTCTAAGGCTCTCTCTTCTCCAGCCAGACTTGACCTCAGAAGCGTCCTTCGTGTGACACTGCAGGTGGCTCAGCTCCCCGTCCTGTCCCGGAGGCCCTTTCAGCTCCCCATCTTGTCCCGGAGGCCCTTGGCCTGCCCTGGTTGTGAGCACTGGCTTGATTGACGGGAGACCCTGCAGCCCACGCTCGCTCCAGGGAGCTGAGGGAAGACAAGGAACAGCACCCCAGCTGGAGTAAGAGAACACTAAGAAATGGATGCGGCTGCTTTAAGTTCCTAGATCACTGAGGATTAGCTTAGTAGTCCCATCTGATTCCCTAGTTTCAACTGTCATTTAAGAATGGTTATTTTGGAACAGACTCAGAATCTGACAGAGCAGCTAGAAATCCTCTCGGGAGGGTGACCAGGCCTTCCCTCTTCTGGCCATTCATTTTCCATCCTGGAGCCGGGGTCTGCGCCCTATGTCCTGCGCCCTGCACCCCGTGCCCCACATCCTGCACCCCGCCCCCTTTCCTTGTGCTGGGCTCACGCTTGTTGCTGTTTTCCTCCTGTTCCACTTCTGAGATGATTGTTGCTGTTCCTTCTTGCAGTTAATTGATTATTTTCTGAATCAGTGGACAGCTTCTGTGAAAATAGCCTCCGTTCTTTGTTCCATGGAGGGAGGAATGTGCGCCGTGCTTGTGGATTGCTGCTGGGGTGGTGGGTTTGAGGCCGAGTCTGCAGCCAGCAGCAGCCTCAGTTCCAGGAGGGCCCTGGTGGCTGTGGTGCTGGGAAGCGCCATTGTGCTGCGTTGGTGTGACCCTGTGGCTCCGGCTGCCAGGGGGCCATCCTTTTTGAGTCATGTTTTCTTCAAATTAAATATTGAGAGATTCTAGTCACATCCCACAGTTGCCATTTGCTGTCTGAATAGAAAACATGAAGAATTGCATGATTTGAAGCCATGTGGTCAGTTTCATGTCCACAGCGGCCCTGCTTTTCTTCCTTGCTGAGAGATGGAATGCCCCATCTGGTGCTGGGTTGCAGGCAGGGTGGGACTCACAGCTGTTCGTTGACTCTGGGAGAGCTCCCCTGGCTGAGGCCGTCTGCTGACAGGTGCTGTGCAGGTGAGCGTGACCCTATACTAAGGAATACTGATTAGAGTCCATTTCAGGCCCTGTTGGGCACACTGAGAGTGCACAGGAACCACAGAGCCTGAGACACAGTAGGAGGGTGAGAGACGCAGTAGGAGGGTGGGAGACGCAGTAGGAGGGTGGGAAGCGCAGTAGGAGGGTGGGAGACGCAGTAGGAGGGTGGGAGACGCAGTAGGAGGGTGGGAGGCGCAGTAGGAGGGTGGGAGACGCAGTAGGAGGTGGGAGGCGCAGTAGGAGGTGGGAGAACGCAGTAGGAGGGTCGGAGACGCAGTAGGAGGGATGAGAGAGACATAGTAGGAATCTGTAGGAGGGTGGGAGACGCAGTAGGAGGGTGGGAGACGCAGTAGGAGGATGAGAGACATAGTAGGAATCTGGAGAGCCACCTGCACCAAGGCCTCAGGACAGCGGATGGCACAGCCACAGGGAGGGTGACTGCCTGTGCAAGGCCGGAGGCCATGGGCACCCAGGTCCAGCGAGGTTGGATGGAGCCCCCAGTGCTCAGCCTCCTGTGACCAGTGTTGGGGGTAGCAGTAGCGGACAGTGCCTCCCAAATGTGGGCAAGAGGTTTGGAAAGATTGGCAGAGCATCAGAGGCTTCATAAAGAGCCATTTGGGAAGATGAGGTTCAGGGGATGGTGGCGGGTGCGCAGGTATGGGGACGCACTGGCTGCATGGTGCCCGCTTCCTCCTCCCCGAGCTGTGCCCTCCGGCGCTGTGTCTCAGCCTCCCCTCCAGGAGCACTCATTTCCTCCCAGCTCTGGGCCCCTGTGGCCTCTGCTCTGCCAGCTGCCCAGCTGTGATGACCAGTTTCCAGTTTCCACTCCAGTCCTTTCTCTGTCTTTATTGTTCATTTTGACCTCTAGGTGCACATGATGTCATGCCCCAGTGTTCCAGCATCGCTGGCTGGGAGAGGGAAGAGGAGGTGAAGGGATTCCTTAGAACACTGACATTGAAATTGCAGCTGAATCTTTAAAAAAAAAAATTGTTTTGTGCTGGCTTACACCTGTAATCCCAGTACTTTGGGGAGGCCGAGGTGGGAGGATTACTTGAGCCTAGGAGTTTGATGCAAGGCTGGGCAACATAGTGAGACCCTGCTTCTACAGGAAAAAAAAAAAAAATTAGCCAGGTCTGGTAGTGTGTGCCTGTAGTCCCAAGCTACTCATGAGGCTGAGGCAGAAGGATCGCTTGAGCCCAGGAGGCCCAGGCTACAGTGAGCCATGACTGTGCCACTGCATTCACGCCTGGGCAACAGAGCAAGACCTGTCTCAAAAT